TTATTTGAGTTTTGTAGCATTGCTCATAAAATAAATAAAAAGTTAAATTTTATTCTTTATATATTTTTTTCTCACAAAACTATCACATTACTAATTTCTATTGCATATTCAATTATTTAATATTTGATTAATTTGTAATTTAACATAATTTTTATTACTATTTTTTAAAAAATAATACATAAAAATAAATTTTAAATAATATAATAAATAAATAAAAATTAGTATTATTTAATATAGTGAAATTACTCCGGACAGCCTCATCATCTCCGTCTAGCCCACGTACGAGATCGCGCGCCTTATGGGCTTCCTACCGAATTTTCATCGGGGAAAAAGTGAAAAACCAACCAACAAACACCATTGCCAACACCCTCTGTGCTTGTGTGAAATTGCAAGCTTAAAGCCCTAATTTTCTTCTGCCAATGGCGGACCGTACGGACAGGATATAGGAGTCTCTTGCAGGAACTCTAATTATACGCCACGAGCGTCTCGTTGAGTTGCTTGGTATTGTTCGCAGGCCTTCGATACCTTGACACCAATCAAGAAGCCTCCAGAAAAACACTCCAACACCGTAAACAACTCTCCAAACGCTTGGGCCGTCCTCTCATCCACACCACCCCCTACGAGGCAACACGACATTTTCCCTTGCTTTCGTTCAATTTCTTTCTTTGCTGATTGATGTACCTCATTTTCTCGGACAGTCTGACTCTCATATAGTTAATAAAAAATATAAATTGCAGGATGTTATAGCTTGTGATATTGTGAATTCGGATCACATAGATGTGGATCTTCAGTCGATTGGAGGGTTAGACGAAATGAAGGAGGCGTTGTTTGAATTGGTGATTCTTCCGTCGCGGAGGCCTCAGTTGTTGCCTATGGGAAGCTGCTTGGCCCGCAGAAAGGGGTTTTGCTGTTCGGACCTCCTGGAACAGGAAAGACAATGCTTGCTAAAGCTATTGCAAAGGAGTCTGGAGCTGTGTTTGTTAATGTGAGGATTTCCAATTTGATGAGCAAGTGGTTTGGTGATGCCCAAAAACTTGGTATGTTTTTGGTGTTTCGTTTTTTTAGCTCGAGATATTTAATTGAATGCTGTTGCCTTATAGGATATAACATTTGCTATTGCTTGTGCAATTCACCTGTGTTACTGTTGTTCTTAATTTGATTTTATAAAAGGCTAATATATGGTAGCTGAAGTTAACTGAGCATCTGTAATTTGATCACAAGCTAAGCATCTTTATATAGGATATTCATGTCAACAAGCACAAGGAAATTCTGAAGACGTTTTTCTCGTATAGGTTTGCTGTATAGTAGGAATGTGGAACTGCAATCTGGTAGATTGACTGGAGGAAGTTAGTTCAGGAATTGATCAGTGATAGAAACTAAGAAATTAGTTTTATATGTAATCATATGTTGCATAGAGACAAATTATAATAAGCAACTAATATTATATGTATTTTCATGCATTGTGCAGAAAAGATTAAATATTAGAATTAGAAAGAGTTCAAGGTTAAAAGAATCATTGCCTAAACGGGTCAAATAGTTGCATCAAATATGAAGGTTCCCATCCTGACTTTTGATGAGAGATTCACCGCAGGATGATGTTGTTGGAAATAGCTCACCGGGGAGTCTACTGCATTGTTTGTGCTGAACTCAAAAAGGTTCTCTTACTAGCATGTTATTACTTCTCCCCAAAATGACTTAATAAGTTTGTTTAGTGTTTGGTTCTTTTTTTTGTTGCCATGGCATGGGCCTAGATGTTCATCTCCAGGGCAAGCACAAATGCTTTGGTCATAGTGCATCCCGTCAGACAGAAACTAGGTTGTGTAAGCATGATGTGGAAAGAAAAGAAAGAAAGAATGAATTTGAGCTTGTATAGAGTTGTTTTGATATATAGAGTTGTTTTGATGATGTTAATGACAAAATAAATTGTCACTGTGTGTTTTAAGAATCATTGTCTCTTGTATTTTATTACATGTCCCATCCTTTGCTTGTAACCTGTGTCATAAGAAGCTGTTACGTAGTGATTTAACTTGCTAGATCTAAAAAGCTTTTTGAGAAAAAGTTTAATAAATTTAGCTATCTAACGCTTTCTTTCTGTAAACATAAAAGTATGATATTTTGATCAGATGCACATGGAACCCATCCAAATTCAATTTGAGTGTATATTCATATAATCGTAGGCTTAATTGTTGATTCGTATTTTATATGAAAATCGTTTTAAAGTTGAATCGTATCGCGCTTAAATTGTACGATTCGATTCATATCTCACGAATCTCACAATTCAATCACTTTTTTTTAAAATCCAATTTTTTGGCAAAACAATATCGTTTTGTCCGCTAAACAGTAAAATAAACATTGTTTTGTTTACAGATTAATTCATGCCCTAATAAAAACTCAACCTCTTTACTCGTTCTCTCTCTGACGTCGTCTAAAGTTCACCTTGTTTCGTCCAAAGTTAAAGGTCACGACTAACGCTCTAGCATTATCGATTGATTTTTGCTCTCAATTCTTTCATGAGTAGTTTGTTAGGTTCTAATTTTTTGTTTCAACATGTTGGCCTGTATGTTTTCTTTCGATCAATTTTTTATTTATTTATTTTTTCATTCATATTTGTAACCTAATTTATAATGGGCGTCACTATTTTGATTCTTAAATAGCCATGATTCTTTATTGAATTTTTTTTTTTCAAGTTGTTGAATTTGAAAATGGTTAAACAAAAGATGAAAATGAAGTAAAAAGCCAGCGTCTTTCAATTTAGACGAAGTGTTTATGTCAATTAATTATTTTTAGAATGTAATAATGTTCGATATTCAAATTTTTGTCTATTTGAAATATGTACTACTATTTTTTATTTTTGTTCAAATTTTGTGTCGAATTATACGATTCACGATTCTCAAATTTAGAATTCCGATTCACAATACGAATCGCAATTTAACAACTATGGTGGCTGCTGTTTTTAGTTTGGCTTACAAACTCCATCCTTCTATTATATTCATTGACAAGGTTGACAGTTTTTGTGGGGTGGTTTTACCACAGATTGTGAGTATTCTTGCATTGATATAACGGCAACCAGCTCAACAAACAAACAACTTCAAAATGCTTCACCTTTGTTTTTTTTCCATTAGTGAGCAGGCTACTTTTTAATAGATTCTTTGTATTGAATGTTATTAGTTGAATAATTTGGCTGAGGAATTTGATGATGAAATTGAAAATTTAAGTTTTGCACTTTGTACACAGAGAATGCTTGAATAATGGTTCTTGCGGCAACTAATCGTCCATCAAATCTTGATGAGGCAATACTTAGGTGTCTTCCTCAGGTATTTGAGATTGGCAAACCTAATCGAGGTGATAAAGCAAATATACTGAAAGTGATTTTGAAGGGTGAGAGAATAGATGACAATATTGACTTTGATCACATTGTAAGCTTGTGTGAGTGTTCTATTGGCTGCGATTTACTTGACGTCTGCAAGCAAGCAGCCTATTTTCCTGTCAGGGATTTCTTGCAAGATGAGAAGAATGGGAAGCGACCTCATGTGAGTAAATATTTCATTCTTGGAGTTTTGTGTTTTATTGTTCTGTTCATTGTTAAATAGATGTTTTAGGATGGGGAATATGCATCTACCGACCACTTTTCNATTTTAAATAATATAATAAATAAATAAAAATTAGTATTATTTAATATAGTGAAATTACTCCGGACAGCCTCATCATCTCCGTCTAGCCCACGTACGAGATCGCGCGCCTTATGGGCTTCCTACCGAATTTTCATCGGGGAAAAAGTGAAAAACCAACCAACAAACACCATTGCCAACACCCTCTGTGCTTGTGTGAAATTGCAAGCTTAAAGCCCTAATTTTCTTCTGCCAATGGCGGACCGTACGGACAGGATATAGGAGTCTCTTGCAGGAACTCTAATTATACGCCACGAGCGTCTCGTTGAGTTGCTTGGTATTGTTCGCAGGCCTTCGATACCTTGACACCAATCAAGAGGCCTCCAGAAAAACACTCCAACACCGTAAACAACTCTCCAAACGCTTGGGCCGTCCTCTCATCCACACCACACCCTACGAGGCAACACAACATTTTCCCTTGCTTTCGTTCAATTTCTTTCTTTGCTGATTGATGTACCTCATTTTCTCGGACAGTCTGACTCTCATATAGCTAATAAAAAATATAAATTGCAGGATGTTATAGCTTGTGATATTGTGAATTCGGATCACATAGATGTGGATCTTCAGTCGATTGGAGGGTTAGACGAAATGAAGGAGGCGTTGTTTGAATTGGTGATTCTTCCGTCGCGGAGGCCTCAGTTGTTTGCCTATGGGAAGCTGCTTGGCCCGCAGAAAGGGGTTTTGCTGTTCGGACCTCCTGGAACAGGAAAGACAATGCTTGCTAAAGCTATTGCAAAGGAGTCTGGAGCTGTGTTTGTTAATGTGAGGATTTCCAATTTGATGAGCAAGTGGTTTGGTGATGCCCAAAAACTTGGTATGTTTTTGGTGTTTCGTTTTTTTAGCTCGAGATATTTAATTGAATGCTGTTGCCTTATAGGATATAACATTTGCTATTGCTTGTGCAATTCACCTGTGTTACTGTTGTTCTTAATTTGATTTTATAAAAGGCTAATATATGGTAGCTGAAGTTAACTGAGCATCTGTAATTTGATCACAAGCTAAGCATCTTTATATAGGATATTCATGTCAACAAGCACAAGGAAATTCTGAAGACGTTTTTCTCGTATAGGTTTGCTGTATAGTAGGAATGTGGAACTGCAATCTGGTAGATTGACTGGAGGAAGTTAGTTCAGGAATTGATCAGTGATAGAAACTAAGAAATTAGTTTTATATGTAATCATATGTTGCATAGAGACAAATTATAATAAGCAACTAATATTATATGTATTTTCATGCATTGTGCAGAAAAGATTAAATATTAGAATTAGAAAGAGTTCAAGGTTAAAAGAATCATTGCCTAAACGGGTCAAATAGTTGCATCAAATATGAAGGTTCCCATCCTGACTTTTGATGAGAGATTCACCGCAGGATGATGTTGTTGGAAATAGCTCACCGGGGAGTCTACTGCATTGTTTGTGCTGAACTCAAAAAGGTTCTCTTACTAGCATGTTATTACTTCTCCCCAAAATGACTTAATAAGTTTGTTTAGTGTTTGGTTCTTTTTTTTGTTGCCATGGCATGGGCCTAGATGTTCATCTCCAGGGCAAGCACAAATGCTTTGGTCATAGTGCATCCCGTCAGACAGAAACTAGGTTGTGTAAGCATGATGTGGAAAGAAAAGAAAGAAAGAATGAATTTGAGCTTGTATAGAGTTGTTTTGATATATAGAGTTGTTTTGATGATGTTAATGACAAAATAAATTGTCACTGTGTGTTTTAAGAATCATTGTCTCTTGTATTTTATTACATGTCCCATCCTTTGCTTGTAACCTGTGTCATAAGAAGCTGTTACGTAGTGATTTAACTTGCTAGATCTAAAAAGCTTTTTGAGAAAAAGTTTAATAAATTTAGCTATCTAACGCTTTCTTTCTGTAAACATAAAAGTATGATATTTTGATCAGATGCACATGGAACCCATCCAAATTCAATTTGAGTGTATATTCATATAATCGTAGGCTTAATTGTTGATTCGTATTTTATATGAAAATCGTTTTAAAGTTGAATCGTATCGCGCTTAAATTGTACGATTCGATTCATATCTCACGAATCTCACAATTCAATCACTTTTTTTTAAAATCCAATTTTTTGGCAAAACAATATCGTTTTGTCCGCTAAACAGTAAAATAAACATTGTTTTGTTTACAGATTAATTCATGCCCTAATAAAAACTCAACCTCTTTACTCGTTCTCTCTCTGACGTCGTCTAAAGTTCACCTTGTTTCGTCCAAAGTTAAAGGTCACGACTAACGCTCTAGCATTATCGATTGATTTTTGCTCTCAATTCTTTCATGAGTAGTTTGTTAGGTTCTAATTTTTTGTTTCAACATGTTGGCCTGTATGTTTTCTTTCGATCAATTTTTTATTTATTTATTTTTTCATTCATATTTGTAACCTAATTTATAATGGGCGTCACTATTTTGATTCTTAAATAGCCATGATTCTTTATTGAATTTTTTTTTTTCAAGTTGTTGAATTTGAAAATGGTTAAACAAAAGATGAAAATGAAGTAAAAAGCCAGCGTCTTTCAATTTAGACGACGTGTTTATGTCAATTAATTATTTTTAGAATGTAATAATGTTCGATATTCAAATTTTTGTCTATTTGAAATATGTACTACTATTTTTTATTTTTGTTCAAATTTTGTGTCGAATTATACGATTCACGATTCTCAAATTTAGAATTCCGATTCACAATACGAATCGCAATTTAACAACTATGGTGGCTGCTGTTTTTAGTTTGGCTTACAAACTCCATCCTTCTATTATATTCATTGACAAGGTTGACAGTTTTTGTGGGGTGGTTTTACCACAGATTGTGAGTATTCTTGCATTGATATAACGGCAACCAGCTCAACAAACAAACAACTTCAAAATGCTTCACCTTTTTTTTTTTTCCATTAGTGAGCAGGCTACTTTTTAATAGATTCTTTGTATTGAATGTTATTAGTTGAATAATTTGGCTGAGGAATTTGATGATGAAATTGAAAATTTAAGTTTTGCACTTTGTACACAGAGAATGCTTGAATAATGGTTCTTGCGGCAACTAATCGTCCATCAAATCTTGATGAGGCAATACTTAGGTGTCTTCCTCAGGTATTTGAGATTGGCAAACCTAATCGAGGTGATAAAGCAAATATACTGAAAGTGATTTTGAAGGGTGAGAGAATAGATGACAATATTGACTTTGATCACATTGTAAGCTTGTGTGAGTGTTCTATTGGCTGCGATTTACTTGACGTCTGCAAGCAAGCAGCCTATTTTCCTGTCAGGGATTTCTTGCAAGATGAGAAGAATGGGAAGCGACCTCATGTGAGTAAATATTTCATTCTTGGAGTTTTGTGTTTTATTGTTCTGTTCATTGTTAAATAGATGTTTTAGGATGGGGAATATGCATCTACCGACCACTTTTCTGAATAGTTAAAGATGCCCAGACTTCGTCTCGAAGTTTTGAAGTGTATGAACTGGTTTGGTTTGGGTTGGGGTGGGGGGGGGGGG